AGTTCCAGCACCCCCCTCCAAATTTTTCCAGTCCTTTTGTAGTCAGCCCCATTCCCTACTCCAAAACTCTGGTGACCTGTTTTCTATCTCTATAGCTTTGTCTCTTCTAGAACGTCATATAAATGGAACCATGCAGCTATTTTTTTTGTTTGGTTCCTTTTGCTTAGCATAATGCATCTGAGATTCATCCCTGTTGTTGCATGTAACAGTAGTTTGTTGCATTTTACTGCTGAGTAGTGTTTCATTGTTTGGATTTGCCAGAGTTTGCTTAATTGATTACCCAATTGAGTATAATATGGGTTGTTTGTAGTTTTTGGCAATTATAAATAAAGCTGTTATAAATATTTGCATACAGATTTTTATGTGAATATAGGTTTTCGTTTCACTCAGGCACATACCTGAGAGTAGGATTTCACGTTGTACAGTTAAGTGCATATTTAACTGGGATTTTAGAATACTTAACCAAAGGAAACTCAGTGATAGGAAACTGTATTCAGAAAGTAGGTGTAATAGCTTCCAGATTAAAATCATAACTAGACTAAAATTGGAGGACTTTAAATATTATTTTAATCCATAATATTCAGCATTGGCAGGAATATTATGAAGGGAAAGTATAATTTCTTGCCTGTTTAGTAATGGAGCAAATTAGCACAACTTTTCTGGAGAAGAATTTGGCAGTACTTATCAGAATGTACTATGTGCATTGGTTCCATTTCTAACTTCAGAAACATTCACACACATGTGTAAGGCCAAATGTGCACAGATGTTTGCAGAGGTATTATTTGTAACTGTGAAAAATGAAGATACTAAAATGCCAATTAATAAAGATTCGATAATGTATGGTACATTCTCTCATACGTATTCCCTTGGAATATGAGGCAGCATTTCAAAGGAATGGGATATATCTCTGACATGGAAAGATGTCAAGGATGTTATTAAAAAAATATTACATATATTCATAATATATAAATACATACATATTTACATATATATATATATTTTTTTTTTTTGAGACAGAGTCTCACTCTTTTTGCCCGGGCTAAGTGCTGTGGCGTCAGCCTAGCTCATAGCAACTTCAAACTCCTGGGCTCAAGCGATCCTCCTGCCTCAGCCTCCCGAGTAGCTGGGGCTACAGGCATGCGCCACCATGCCTGGCTAATTTTTTCTATATAGTTTTAGTTGTCCGATTAATTTCTTTCTATTTTTAGTGGAGACGGGGTCTCGCTCTTACTCAGGCTGGTCTCGAACTCCTGAGCTCAAACAATCCGCCGGTCTCGGCCTCCCAGAGAGCTAGGATTACAGGCGTGAGCTACTGCGCCCGGCCACATATATGTATTTACATACATAAATACAAATATCTTTATGTAAAAAATATATATAGCCATATATATTTGTGAAGGCATGAAGAGACCTGGAAGGCTACACGGCTGACCTTTGTGCAGTGAAGGGTGAGTTGAAGGGAAGAGCAGGGAGCTGGCGAGGAGTGAGGCATGAGACTTGCCTTTTACTTAATGCACTTCCATGTTACTTGACTTCTTTCAAAACAGGCATACATGATTTGGCACGTAAAATGAAAAATTAAAGGACAGCTAAATAATGAATCACTAATTAACAACTGGTCAAGAACCCCTATTGCATCCTCCTCCGACTTCTTAGCAAAACACCTATGAAGACACAGAAAAAATGGAAACTCATCCAAGCTTAATGTCACTTAATGCCTGAATCTGGACAGAATCTCTGTGGATCAGATGGAGCTGGAGAGAGAAGGATGTACATCATACTTGGTCTCCCCAAAAGGGGACTCACTGGATAAAGACGGGCAGGCGTGCATACCTTCCTGCCTGCCAGTCCTTGAACAATTAGTGTCCATACAGAAATCTGAATTCTTCTTCATTGCAGTGGCTTATCTATGAAGGAACTCACAGGTTGCACCTGGTTTCATTCATTTGAAACACCATCTTCTCCTTGACCTTCTCCTACCATCCTCTATAACCATATAGAAACAACTCAAAGAAAACAACTGCACTGAAACTGTATTATGTGGTGTTGGGAGATGAAGAGCATCTAGAAATAGTGTACTGGATTCTCCCCACAAATAGAATATTAATGATACACAGAATAATCCCTTGGAAGAATGTGTTAGGAATTATAATTTTCACGGTCAGAGTATCAGATGCAGAGTACCAGAGAATCAGACACAAGGACAAAAAAAGATGCTCCCTCAATAAAACACTAGTCAAAGCTTGCCAGAAACTGACAACAAGTTTTGAAGTTGCACACTTCTACCTGTCCACTAGCTGATTTCAGGGAAGGGAACTAGTGCATTATACAAGTATGTAGAGAACTGGGCCAACGGCAATCCTCATCCCTAGTATGTTGCCACAGATAAAGTTAAAGCAGATATTGCTTTGTTTTATCGGGAAAAATGCAAAAACTTGCATAGAATAAATATATGGGTAATCTTTGCTTCTACAGAAAAGATTTTAAAAAATGGAGACAAATAAGGGAACAGAAGCAATGGTCAAGTGGCTGATGGTCTGAGTTAATATTTTAATCCTAAACTCCTAGAAAATAATAACAGGTTTGTGAATTAAAGTTTAAGCATGACACCAAAAGTAGAAATCATAAGGAAAAATATAGATTTAAATAGAATAAAATAGATTAAGTAGATTTAAATACATAAATAATTCTGAATGTTAAAAATTATAAACAATTTTAAAGGACAGAAGGCATGCTGGACAAGGAATTTATAATATGTGACAAAAGGTTAATATCTTTAACAAACAAAAGTGCTCCTAAAGATAAACAAGACCAGACAAATATATTAATAGAGATGCACAAACTTCATAAATAAGCAGAGCCCCAGGAAAAAATTATAAAGGGCCAAAAAATATATGGAAAAAAGATGCCCAATCTAATAATCAAAGGAAAGAAGATAAAAGACAGTCTTTTTACAAATAAAATTAGAATTATTAATATATGATAGCATTCAATATTCTTGAGGATCCACGAAAATATTGTTAATAATCTTTGGTCTATTATTCTAAATTCTTAAATTTGTGCATACCCTTTGACACAGAAATTCCCCTTGGAAGGATATATTCCAAAGGAAAAAAATCATAAATGTGCACAAAGTTTTAGTGAGAAGGATGTTGCTGCATTGTAAGCATAAACCTGAAAAACGGAGTTATCTAAACATTAAAATTGATTAAATAAATTTTGGTATAAATATATTATTTATTTATTTGTTATAAATATATGATTAATGATTGTGTTGAGGAAAAATATTTAATAGAAAGAGATAATCACCTCTTACTGTGAAAATTGAAGATGTATGTTATAAAAATAGTATTATAATCTGATTTAGTTTGTACACAAACATATATAAAGAAACAGTTCAAAGGCTATACATCAAATGTTAATGGCGGTTATCTGTCTATAGTAAAATCAAGTGTTTTTGTTTTGTTTGCTTATAATTTCTAAAATTTCTAGGATGAATATTCCAGAAAGAGACCTTTTTTCTTTTAAGTTTGAGCAAGATAGAGAAAAAAGAATATTCCAATGAGCTTGCATTGCCATTAGTAATGAAAAAGTGCAGGTCCCAAATAAAAAATAAATCTGAAAACTATTAATAAATGTATCAAAATGGGCCTTTCTATGGACCCTTCTCAGGTTTTTTTTAGATCTTTAATATCCAGAAAGTACCTCTAATAACATTTAAAAGCTTGAGAACAACTTGTTCTGAAATCTTTTATTATCAGCAAAGCATCATCTCATTTGACTGCCTGGCAAACTTCATTTTCCATTCATATTAGAACAGATGATAGATTAGCATCTAACTTTCTCTTAATTACTTTTTATAGGTGATGCTTTCTCTTTCTCAGCTATTGAAAATAGTATGCATGCTGACACTACTCTAGAAAACATCAGTACAAATTCAATAGAACACTTCCAGGAACTGGATAAAATCCAATCCCCAGCGTCTTTCATTATCCCATAGAGCAGTAACTCTTACTGGAGCATAGGAGAGGTGAGACTATCAGAATTTCAAACTACTTAAGGTTCAAAGGTTCTCTGGTGTGACTCTAGCGGGGTGTGCACTAACTGCAGACAGTCCCCTCCCACTGCCCAACACGTACGCCCACACAGGTTGAGAATTTCCACGTGCATAGATGTTTCTCATGAGAGAGTGCTGTCTAGGTCAATGGCATGGAGAGAAAAAGTTCAGAACGATGTCACAGAAGGTTTGATTAACCCAAGGAGAGAAAGGTCCTTTACTGGAAGGCTAGCAAGCAGTTTATTTCTTGGTCACAAAAATTTAAATGCCACCTTTGAGTCTGAGGCCGATTTTCAATTCACTTGTTTTTCTCCCCCGTAGGAATTCATCAGAATGAAATTAAAACAAAAAGGCTCTATTGTTTATGTTTAAGATGTAACTTTCTTCTTCTATAAGTGAATGTATAAACAAACTGTGGTACTGCATACAATGGAAGATTATTCAGGGATAAAAAATGCCTTACCAAACCACAAAAAGACATGGAGGAATGAAGTGAAATTACAGAGATAGTAAAAAACATGGGCGTTGCCAGCGTGGGAGGGCGGGGTGAGTAGGTGGAACACGGGATTTTTAGGGCAGTGGAACTATTCTGTATGATGCTATAAAAGCAGATGCATGTCACTATAAATTTGTCAAAACACATAGAATATACAACACAAAAAAAGAACACTAGTGTAAACTATGGACTTCAGTTAACAACATATCAATATTGGCTTGTCAATTATAACAAATGTACCACACTAAGGCAAGACGTTAATATTAATAATAGGGGAAATTGTATATGTGGTGGTGGGGTGAGATGGTGAGGGAATATATGAGAATTCTCGGTACTTTCCACTCATTTTTTTCTGTAAACTCGAAACCATTCCAAAAAGGACTATTAATTAAAAAAAATAAAAATAAAAAATATTTACATATAAAGAGGAGGGGGAAGATAACTTACTTCTGGTTCACGATTAGCCACTCCCGAATATAGGTCTGAACACAGTCCCTGACATGAGGGTCCAGTTCAACCCTAATGAGATGGAAAATGAAATAAAAACATGTTATTACTGGGTAAAGACAACAAAACAAGGAGTGCAACATGATTTTAAATCCGTATCAGTGAGAATGCTAAGGCTGTTCTTGCCCATTCATTCCAAGTGTCTCTGAGGCAATAGCATTTAACTTTGATGAGATAAACATGTTGGTATTTTATGCTTTGTGGGTTTTCTTTATTATAGAGAATCATGTTAAACCATAACTATCCCTGAAGGCACTCTGACACAAGACAGGTAGAACTTGCTGTAATCAGATACATAACAAAGAAAATAAGTATAAATACCTATTTCTGACAGGGGTAATTTGGACGTATTTTTTGTGTTTGTGTGCCCTTGTCGGGACATGCATGTTCTCCTTTTTGAAAGCCAAGAAGAAGAACAGTTGTCTTATGCTTTGATGAATTTGCAGACACTGGCTTTGTCTGGTGGTCATGAACTTGGTGGTTCTGTCCCACGTGCTTAGGAATGCACCGTAAGAGATACTCTGCTAGTGTTTCAGAGTCTTTAAATCAGAAAGAACAACAGTAGCTTTTTGCTGTTGTTGCAGATGAGTTAGTACTAGAGATAAACAAATCTTAATTTTCTCGTCTGTAAAAAGGGGATAAGAATGGTACCTACCTGTGGACTTACTGTGACTATTAGATGAAATATTGTAAAGGTTAGACATGTGGTCTAGCCCTACTGCCCAAGTCTCAGCTTAATCCCTTACAGCTATGTGACCTTGAGCCAGTCCGTCAGTCAACCCTTCTTTGCCTCAGTGTTCTTACCTTAAAATGGTAATAATAAGAAGAGTGCCTCCTTTAAAGAGTTATAAATAAGTTAATGTGCAAAGTGCTTAGAAGAATCTGGCACATAAGATCTGTATGTGAAAGTTCACATGTGTACCATTTGCTATGCATTAGGCACTGATGTAACCACTTTACATGTATTAATCCAGTTCATTTTCAATCAGCCCCATAGGGCAGGCACTACTATTATTCTCATTTCGCATAAGAATGGGATAATAAGGATCTTGCTCCAAGTCACACAGTAAGTGGTGGAACAGGGACTTGAATCCTTGCACAAGGCAGCTCACCTGTAGAGGTCATGCTCATAATTACATGCCATCTCAGCTCAACGTAAAGTTCTGGGCTAGGCACAGGGTGTTCAACAGGAGTCACTTATTGTACTCTGATGATGACAATGATACCATCCCTTGCTTTAATTATACAGAAGACTTTTGGGCAACAACCGAAATAATAAAGGTTGTTTTAAAGTCATCAGATAGATAATGTGTTAGCTATAAATTATGGTGACAAGATAATAGTATGCTCAAAAATTGATGTTAAGTAAAAATAACCTTCCTTATCAAATTTAAAAACAAATCCTCCTCCCTCTAAATCTATTGTAAATATTTTAAGCAGGTTTTTCCAAGATTCTGACCATGTTTGAAGACAATTAATCATAAATTTTACACAAAGAAATAAAAGTAAATGATACTTTACCGAGGGTAAAAATAATAAGTGTTACCTATATTAAAGTCACAGCTGAATAAATGGACTGATAATGGGGAAAAATGCTTTTCAAGGAGGATAATGTTTTTGTTTTCTGGGAAATGAGTATCTTTCTGACATTAGAGCTGCACATACAGTCAGCTCTCCTACATGAGTGAGAACTGTCTGAACAAGGAAGGTCACAGAAATCCCCCATCACTGTCATCCAGCCTCCTTAAGCTATGTGAAGTAAAATCCAAAATGGAACCAGAATACCTCAGAGTGGTGAGGACAGGGGCTGTGTTTCATGATCTTCTTTCTGGGACTTTTTGGGGAAGATGACAATGTCCAGGAGGATGTGAATCTTAATTTTGCTTTCAAAATGAATGCAAATAAAAGTTCATCCTAAACCTCCAAAGGGACATTTATTTTTATACTATGGAAGCAATAGGAGTTTCATTTAGCTATAATTCCATAGTTAGTTTGATACTAAGAGCTAATGCCTGAACCTATAAACACATAGACAAACCTCCTGCAGAAACTCAAGACCTAAGTATGTGTCTGCATATTCACTCTCCAGAGTTTTCCTCACTGTTTTTCCACTGGAAAACATTTTCTTCAAGGGACGGGACTTTGCGTTATTCATCCTTTTATTCCAATACCCAGCACATAGTAGATGCTCAATAAATGTGGGCTGACCTTCTAACTTGATCCAGTCTTTTACATGGAAGCAGATAAAATGCTTCTGAATGGATTTTATGAAAGCTCTTGGCATTTTTACAAATGAAGAAACTGAGGCTTTGGGAGGTCATGTGACTCGCCCAAGGTCGCTGAGCTGGTACCCAGGCAGTCTGGTTCCACAGCCTGCACTTTTAACCCTTCTTGAGCATTCTGTCTTGTCCCACTGTATCCCTTAGTCTCCATACAGCTTTTCAAAGCCTCTGGCCAAACCAATTCAAAAACTATCTATACCTAGGCGAGTATCATATAGTTGCCCCACTCATCTTAATGAATTGGGTAATTTTATTTTTTAAAAAGAAGTTCAGATCTAGGGCATCTCCCCCCTCATTGATAACAGTCATGACAGTCACAATCCCATCTACATTTTGAGAAAAAGATTTACCCTTCCTCCGGCAAAGAGGGCTGCAAAGTCCTAAATTCCTTTGGCGTGAACACCACGTCCAAGTCGTCATCGGTGAAGTCTCCCAGCTCCTGGGCAAGCTCCACGTCCAGGCTGCTCAGGTGTGTCATCAGAAGTCCTTCAAAGTCCACCGGCTCCACAGGTTCATAGAACTGAGGCTGAAGGGGTAGAGAAATGAAAAAGTTGGTTCTCATACGGTTTTCTGGTAAAAGCACGAAGGCAACAGTAGGAGCTTGCCTTGCCTTGCCTTTTGAATCAGTACTTCGCTCTTAGTGTAAAACCAAGTGACTTGGGAGGAGCTGTCAAACACAGAAGCAGTGATATGGAAAGAAATGCAGCACAGAAAGTCAAGTCATAACACGATGAGCAATTAAAATCATACCCCAAGGCAGAATTTTTCTCCCTGTAATTGCAGCTTGATGAGGAATCCTAAGGAGATCCAAAATGAGATCACAAGGCTTTGCTGAATCTTTATAATTTCTCCTGCCACAGCTCTCTGAGGCCATGTTTTATTTACCCAAATACAGTGAAGTAGGGAATGAAGGCAATTTTCCAGAAATGCAGGCAAACCCAACACTCCTTTGGCTGAATATTTAGGCACAGTGTTTCCTTTGGCCTGAGTTGTTCTATAGATTGGTTCTCGAAAGCACTTCATATATAATCACAGCTGACAATGAACCAGACTCAGTGGCTGAAACACTCCAAGACAGTGATTTTCAAATGTCGCTTGGGCTGACTGGTGCTGGTCTGGAAGGAATTTTCACCTAACTGCAGCTACATGAGCAAACTCAGGGCAATTTGCTGAGTTTTCATATGGTTAAAGTTACTCAGTTTAAAAGAATTGCTCTTTGCTCTTCAATTTTATCCTTCCACTTTGGGGGAGGGAGAGACTAAAAGAAATGGTAGAAAGAGATGGCAATTTTAAGAGTTTTTTTTTAGCTGATAAAATTAAAAGTTGGCAACCCTTCGTCAGTCCCCAAACAAAATATTTTTTCATTTCTGTGAAATCCAAAGACCAAGAAACCACTGCCTTAAGGAAGTAAAAGAATCACTTAGATTAAGTAGATTTGTGTAATAAAAAAAAATAATAATAGCAGTAGCCCTATGGTGTGTTAATTTATGGCAAACTATTTGGAGTCATCAACCCAAGAGGGGGGTTCCCTCTACCTCTACCTGGAAATGGATCAACAAAACAAACACCCCAGATTCTTGACTTGTACTGCCTTGAAGTGAGAGAAATACAGATCCAAAGGAAGTGCTAACAAAACCGGTTTTTCATCCCTTTGAAACCACACGCCAGTAAGGGCTTCATGTTGGAGAGGAGAAACAAAGTGCTGTTGAAGAAGCAAAAGGAAATAAGATTCGAGAATGGAAATGTGGCTTGCCCAGCCCCTTCCCCACCCTTGCTGTCCCTGATGGTGGTGAGGACATGAGTGACTGTCTGGGATTCTTGGAGGTGGCTGACTTACATAATACCCTACACCAGGGCAAAAGGGGCAGAAGAGAAGCAACAGGACAACCATAGTGGTTGACAGCAAAGCACCCCCGTGAGTTCCCTGGGGCATCCGAGAAAGGACAGAGAAGTTTCCCTTGGTTCTGACTAGGGACCAGGAGGTCAGCTGAGGAGAGAACCATAGTCCTCACAAGGGTGCCTCCCAAAATGAAGCAACACGGACCAGCAGGAGCTAAAGGAGCCAGAAATCAGTCTATGCAGGAGCCAGGTAGGGACTGAGTGTGCAATCAGGTACTGCTGAACTCTGCCAGCGGGAACAACAAGCATCATCTTTGCACAGAACCAGTAAATCTGCCACAGACACCTACGTAAGACCAACTCCAAAGGAGAAAGTAGACTCTTCCACTCCCCTGCCTCCACCCAGCCACCACACATGGAACAGTTTAGAGTCAGGGATTTAAATGACTTCTACAGGAAATAAGGAAAATTGCATTTTTTGTATCCCAGTCTTATTACTGTAAAGTTTATACCTATTGAACTAATAATTATTGAGCACTTACCTATGTGTGAAGAAATTGTACTAGGTCATTGTATACATTATCTCATTTAATCCTCACTGGCACCCTATGAAGTATACATTCTTATTACAGGTTGAGTGTCCCTTATTCAATATGTCCAGGACTGGAATTGTTTCAGGTTTCAGATTTTTTCATATTTTGGAATACTTACATATACATAACAAGATATCTGGGGGATGAAACCCAAGTCTAAACACAAAATTCACTTATGTTTCATATATACCTTATACACATAGTCTGGTAATTTTATACAATATTTTAAATAATTTTGTGCATGAAACAAAGTTTTGATTATATTTTGACTGTGACCCATCACATGAGGTCAGGTGTAAAATTTTCCACTTGTGGTGTCATTTAGATGCTCAAAAAGTTTTGGATTTTGGAGCATTTTGGATTTTGGATTTTCAATTAGGATGCTCATCCCCATTTTACAGATGAGGAAATGAGGGCTAGAGATTTAATAATTTGCCCTTGATTACATAGCTAGGAAGTAGCCCATCTGGAATTCAAACCTAGGCAGGCTCACGTTCTTTTTTTTCTTCTCTATGTTCTTAACCACTACAATTTTGATTGTTCTCGTTTGTGGGCCTTTCAAGGAATCTGTATTTTCTGAAATAATTAAAACACTAGGCATTAGTATGTCCGCAAGCAAGTCAAAAAATACACTTACCATGACCTACTCTGAGCTTCTCATGAGACTGGCCATTCAAAGTAATAATAAAATACTTTAATAAATAAGTCAAGTGATAATAAATGGAAATTTATTATGAAGACTATCAGTTACTCAAGCAGAGGCACTGAAAATATACACTTAAAAATTATATCAAAGCACAATTTGAAGCAAGGTGAAATGAGTGGTAATAACTAGTAAGTAGAAGCTTCAGAGAAATGAAGTTTGTGTGCAATTATCAGAGAGAAAAAAAATCAGTTCCAGCCACAGTATGATACTTGTCATGTCCCTGAAATTCAAAGCCACAAATGATGAAAAACCTGGCTGATAGCAGCACCTGATACTTACAGACAGACTATCCAGGGAGAAAAGGAGGGCTGACTCCCTCGTTCAGCAATTATTTGCTGAGCATCTCCTGAGTTCAAGTCAGAGTTAGGCATTAGGAATACAGGGGAGCATAGGTAGCCCCTCATGCAGCTGCACTCTCATCAACCATGAGATGGGGAAGTCTGCATCCTTCACACCTTCACACCCCAAAATCATGCCATTTTGGGGAGGAGGGATTTGATAGAGAGCATAGCATCATCACTGAGCACTAACTGTGCGGCAATGTGCCAATGCAATATACCCAATTGATGATAAGGCCATAAACTCTTGAGGTCTGAATCTAGTCCTGGACCGAACAGACTGTAAACACAGCCAGTAATGATGGAGTTACTGAGTACAGTGCTAGCACCACTCAGAAGGTGGCCTTTAATAGTTTGTCTCCTTTACCCTTTCAATACTGAAACTAAAGTGGGAGGAAACTGCTCATTCCAAATGTGATGCAAACTAGTCTTGCTGTTGGCAAGCGGGTGGAGACCCCAGCTCGGCCTGGGAGCAGTTGTTCCTCTTGCAAATTCAAATAATAATCAGGAACCAAAAAAGATTTCTGTTCTCTAAATTATCTGATGTCTAAATCTCAAGAGTAGGTTTTACTATGAGGCAATGAAAACACACACGTACAAACACATACATAAGCACACAAACACATATATGCATGCCTATTTTATGATAAGCAAATGAAGAAAACAAACATTTAAGAGGTTACATTGGCAGTGCATTTAGATGGGGATGAAGTTTGGGAATAGGGTGGAGAAGGGGGGTGGGAGATATTCTAAGATCAGTCCGGTCCAAGGTAGGACTTGGGCCCTTGGAAGCTTAAAAGCCAAACATGAAAATGAACTATTTTGTTTTCAAAATTAACAGCAGAGCTGTTGAGCTATATGTGGCCTCCTAGCCAGTGGAGACCAAAGACTAGTTTAAATGGTATGATCCAAAGTAATTTCAAAAAGGTCACCTTTACACCATAAATTATCATACTGTGTATACCATTTGTTATAGGTAATAACATAAGAAAAAAATCAACATTAAAAAAACAATTTAAAAAACTCCCTTTTAAAATAAAATAAACAAACAAAAATACTTAAGACTGCAAATGATCCTAAACCAGGCTTTACCTATTGTGATGGCTTCACGATGTGTCAACATGGCTAGGCTGAACTACATTCCCCCAGATTCCCTTTCTAATGTTTCTAGACTGGGTGGGCTACAAGAGTTTCCTCTTGCTAGAGCTGCAGGACAGAGCTGAGGCTGCAGCCACTCTGTAGCATACACACACCTTCTTCTAGTCATACAATCAAACACCAATTTAGGTGCTTCTGTAAAGGGCTATTGCCAATGTAATTAAAGTCCCTAATCAGTTGACTTTAAGTTAATCAAAAGAGAGATTAGCCTGGGAGTGCCTGACTTAACCAGTTGCAAGCCTTTTCTAAGAAGGCAGAGGCTCTCTTAAAGTTCAGAGACTCCAAGCTTCAGCTCATGCCCACGTGGTTCCAGCCTGCTTGCGATCCTTCCTTCCTATCTGCCCTGTGGATCTCGTGCTTGCTCAGCCAGCGGGTAAGTGAACACCTTCATATACATGCATACGTATCTCCTTACCGGTTCTGCAGTTCTGGTTGAACCCTGACTGATACACCTCCTTTCATTCATTCAACAAATACTATTGGGGTCCGGCAGGGATCAGATACTAGGCTGAGGAAACCTGGTCACTGCCCTCAAGCACATTTTAACACTTCTCTAGTGAGGGCTTGTGTAGTCTTTTTAGTAATTTTTTTCAGAGTTCTGGTCAATGGACTAGAACTACGCAAAAAAGATTACAAATATCCTAAAAGCTTAAATTATCCACAGCCAAATACTCATTTTTTAAATTAAGCAAGTTTGAGCTTTCCCTCGTCCCCTAATGCATATCAAAGTCTATTTCTCCTGACAGGGAGTAAGATTCGATTTGTTCTGAAATGGAAAATTCTAACAATGCCAGAACTATAACTGTTTAGAATTAATCTACATAGCACAGTGTAGCATACAGATAGCATAGTGACAGCCGCCTCAAATAACAAATCTGAACAACATTTCACA